GAGGGAGGGATGAGAACTTCGGGGTCTTGGATAAACGTGCCACCTCGATACATGGCGGGCGAGAAATGATGAGGACAAAGGGTGTGTTGTGATGAGAGCGAGACTTAGCTACAGTCTAGCATAGCTTTACTTAAGGTCAAAGGTCACGGATATGACGCTGCCGGAACGTAGCAGACACGTGAGCTTTGAACAGCCGAAGCTTCTACAGACGTGCCAAGCTCAGTATACAGTGACTCATTTCGACCGTGGCTTGCATTGCTTGCAGCTAGGAGCGTACGCCACCGATGGGGATGGGGCGAGCATGATAATAAAGGTACCAGAACCCTGCGTGTTGTGAAGGCGGTCAAGCGTGCCGCATGTGAATCCTACAAGAACTTTAGTCTGAAAGCATCAGCTAATGATGGACCAGGTAGCTTCGATGTAAGGCTTCCGGCGACTGATGTGTAGTCTGAACATGCGATGCACTGACGCTACAATGGCCGGATAAATTGTGCTTGTCCAGATGACAGAAGATGCGGCGAGGGACTGTCGATGCGCAGACCCGCGTCAGGTCCTCAAGCTCCAATTACGGGCGCTAACGTGACCCCGTGGGGTATCTGGCGGAGCTGTATGCAGAGTGTGACATGAGTTGATTATAGATGTTAGGTCGATACGTATAGCTCCCGTTCCGACGTGAGCGCCCTTACAATGCCTCGGGAGATCGACAAGGGCTGATTCTAGAACGGTCTTTGGCTAAGCGACATATGTGGCACCGAATAAGCACTTAAGTATGGGTGGAAAATATGCTCTTGTCAACGACGCCCTGCGACAGTCATGACAGCCTCGTCTGATCCTCCGTTGACATGAAGACAAGTAAGGCGCAGGGCGTAAAGTCGAACAGCCGACCGATATGGAAGGAATGGCTGCGTCTAATGAGGTAATTATAACCAACCGTCCCATTGCTGCTAAAGGAGCGTTGAGATCTCCTTGCGTTCATACTGCGTTCGCAAAGATGTTTCGCTCCGAATAGTGCGCGAAGATCGAAGTGGCTCTACATCCGATGAAGAACCAGGCCTCGTCAGCCTTTCGCTGTCCGATGCCGCGTTCAGCTTCAAACGGCTCCACACCGCACTGCTTATTCGGAATGTCTAGGTCGCAGTAGGAAGAGCGGCAACGCGGTTGTTATCAAGCCAACCGATTGAGGGCGTCGACCCTCCTCCCGATTCCGGTACAATGTAGCCGTAGCCCTCTGCATGGCCGACAAACCAGCGGAGTTGATAGTCTTTGCATTCGGATCCGTCACTGCAGCTTCTTACAAGCCATTGGGTAGGCGGTGAGTTCACAGCGAGTGCGAACAGTTGTGCTGGTTCGGTATCCGTGGGAGAACGCGTCAAGTCGCGTGGCTTGCGGATCGTTGTGCCGTGTGCCTTCGAAGTCATCGATGACCGTAATTGTGGGAATGTATTGTCGGATTCGTGCGTACCCAGACATGTCTTCGGCTGCTACGTTGGGGGTTGGCGGTATATTCCTCGCGGGTGATACGCCTCTCGGGGCTCGGGCGTCGTAGCTGTAGCTAGGGTGGGTACCTCTAACATTGCGTCGTTGTATGTCAGACTCGAGATCACCTAGTTGCTCGCGGAAAGCTTCGGAAGGGACGATATAGATCTCAGATCCTGTCGCGGGTGCTGCGATGCATGTGCTGTTGTAGTTGAGAGAGCGTCGCGTTCCCTTGGCGTTCGTCATCGCGAGGAGCTGGCACGCTAATGATCTTGTGTTAGCGCATGCCACTAGCGAAGAAGGGTCTCTTGAGCCCCGGGGCCGTCAACGGTCGGATTCTCAGTGCTCCAAGAACGATGCAGGTTGGTCTAGCAGACTCACAGAAGAGGATTTTGCGTCTTCTTCATCTGCTTTGGCTTGCGGGCGGAGTGCGGGACGGGAAAGTGGCAGGACGTACAGTCACCTCAGATCCTCTTTGTACTGTGCTGTACGCACGGCTACCGACAGCCTCATCGCCATCATGCGGTTTCGCAGTTGACCTACAGATGTAACCTTGCACAACCCTGCTCAGCTTGCCCTTACTTGAGGTTGCATGAGACTGCGGCCAGCATAAAACAAGCTCTCCGACAAGTAAGGCGCAAGGCGTAGCTTCCAATATCCAAGAGATGTAGAACGAACGAGTACATCTCATAAGATAGCAATTAACGTGCAGAGTAACTACTGGACGACGGTCAATAGAGATGACATTATAAGCGTATCGTGCTATGCTTCATGTGCACGCACTGTTGTGTTCTCAATGTACGCACATTCTCCACGAGTTCGTGCCCTCTGCAATGGGGCCTTAATGAACCTCACTCAACTTTGCGTCAGCATTGTATACCAATATTTCGCCTATGCTTTCACACGCGAGCATCCAAGATTGAGCCATGTCTCTCTCTGGCGATCCGTCAGGGGCTGCGAGGCTGCTGCCACCGCCGCTACCACCACAATCCCAGATGATTTTTATCGGTTATGCATCATCCAGAAACACATTTCCTGGCCGCACATGCTGACCCCGTCATCGACTGTTGCTCTAAAAGGAGACTGCCGCCTGTTCCCTTTTCCTCTCACCCTGACCCCTCCTCAGCGACATCTCGCAGTCTTCTTGGATGCTTGCTCGCGAGTTACTACGCAACCGCCTTGTTCGTAAACTCCATCGCTTTGACAAACTTTAACGTATTCTTCGAACGATAGGACCAGTTAGTAATAATCATGTCATCTGAACAGACGAGCGGACAGCTCGTTTGATCTGCATTTTCTCAAACTTCGCTTGCGTTGTAACAGCAACACGAAGACCTTTGCGTTCCTTTCGAGATCTATCGGCTGAGCTGTTGATTAAGCTGTCGATGTCTCCGGGGTTATGGAGCTTGGCATGATTCTTGAAGCTATCTAAACGGTTCCACACCTTAAAGGCTCTGACACACCCCGCATGCGCACACATGTAGCTTTGCCCTGCCTGATTGTGTATTGTGTTGAGATGTCTCTTACGATCCGCAACATTCTTGAATGGAACACTACATCCATCATAAGAACACGACAGTATGGTACTCGCGTCTTGGGGAGGTTTGCTCTCCGGTTCATATGGTACATTGGAGGTAGTGTCAGAAAAGGTTGCAGTCCCAGTTTCTGACCAGCACGGTTCGAGCTCCATATCATGCTGACCGGGTATCGCGTTGGAGACGGCCTCGAGATCATGGTACAAGTGGCTGCCTGTGTTGACAAGCAGCTGCATAGAATCGTCCGGACGGGACCAAGGTCGCGTTTCAGTATGTGGCTCAGGCCCAAAGTTATGATCATGGACAGGCCGGTATACAGAGTTAGAGGAGCTCTGAATATCGTCGAATAGCATCGAGGATACTGAGCACGGATTGCTGAATAGTGCGGGATCGAATGACGTATCGTAATGTGGCGGGACAAACGCGAACTGATCGTAGTTGCTGGTCCCAAGGAGTGAGACGGGTGTTTCCCATATTGCACGCGCTCTGCTTGATAACGAGTCGTTACCGCAAGCATCGAACGCACTCTGCCCGTTCTGTGCATGATATCCATTGTAGGAGCGTGCCGAGTAGTCACACTGGTGCCATCCCAGCTCGTCCATCTGATCTAGCCCTGCCGCCAGATCCACGTATCTCGCATCTAGATAGCATTCTACCTTAGAGTTGTGTACTTCGTAGTTCATTCGTGAGGCGCTCGTGGGGGCGGAGGAAGGCCATGCGACGCTGGCGTTGCTCGGGCGGTATGGATCGGCAAACGTCTGAACCGGATCGACGAGGCTTTCTTCCGGTGGGAACACGCCTTCCAAGCATGATTGTAGGTGATCCGACTCCATTGCGATTCTGTGAAGTCGTGGTGGGCCGAAGACGTGGAGATTGTGGCGGTGTAGAGCTCTGCAAGCCTTGGCAGCTCTCTGCGCTAGGGTCCACGGGCTCGGAACAGCGGCGTACCCGCGTTCGGGAACTAAAGTCAAACTGTGGGCCTTGATCGGCGGAATTCTAGAGCTTATTGACTTTGTGATGCACTACATGCATGTCTGCCATGTGCGCGTTGCAAGCAACATTAGGCATCGAAGTGAAATCGTTGCGGCAAAAGCTCCGAATCTCGTTCTAAGGCTAGATTGACGTCATCAAACCGAAAAACAGGGAAGCTGGCTGCAGCAACCTTCAAAGTCAGCGCCGCCGCGGCCTCGACAGATCCAATAATAGGATTACGACTACCTGCTGAACGTACCGTATGCCGCCTACTCGCACACAGACATGATTCTGAAGTGGCTTGAGAACGCCTCTGCGTTGTCGAGCACTGCTGCTGTCCAGTTTTCTTCCGCAAGGCATTGCGTGCAAGAGGGAGTGGCCGCCTGGTCCGCTGCACCCGCGCTAACTATGGTATTGACAGCTAATGAAACATTGGAGTCGTTCATTCATTTTGATCGGTACTTGCTGCGGTCTGAGTGCACACCAGGGGTGGCAGGAATTCGTGTACGATTACTCTCACCAAAACCACGGTCGCTAATTATGTCAGCTGGCACGAACTTTTGCCACCTTGACACGCCCGTGAAACAACACCACGCGGTCTCCTACAAGCTGTCGCGCTCGTAGCCATCCTTCAATGACGGCTTCAATGACGCAATCATGTATGTAGAGCGTAGCAAGAAGGTTGAAATTGAACTGGACTCGTCGTGTGCGCTTTGAGATGACGCAACCTTGGAAGGTGTTGGTCGGTCGCCCGACGGTCCGTGCGTGATTGTAGAGGCTCGGTGGGCCAGAACAAGCCAGCGGCTGCGCCCCCGACTCCTTCTCTCATGCTACACCCGCAGCAACAACACCCAGGTTCCGCCATCATCACTTGCACTTCCCATAAAGAAGAACTTCGCACGTCTCGCACGCTGCATAACATATAATTTCTAGTTTGAGACGAAAATCTACCCCAGGGTCTAGCCTATCACATCACCTTCACCAGTCGCTCGAATCTGGTCTTATACAAGAATCGAGATGACGCCCGGACCTTGCTCGGAAGTTCCTGTCGACTCACTGGGTAAGTTCTCATTCCCTTGCACTCTCCATAGTAGCCACCGACACTTGAGCTCGTGCTTTGACGCCTGGTCAAATAACCGACGATGGCTTCCACTGGGGAGGCAGACTGTGGCGCGCATGCCGACGTAACACGCTGTACTGACTCGTACCAGAGGAGCCGTCGGACGACCTCGAAGCGCAGATCAAGAAGATCCTAGAGGACGCCTACAAGACAGGCGGTGGCCAAGAGATCGTCAAAGAGCTCGCCTACAGCATGCGCATAAACGATCACAAGTTGGCAGGGCTTGACAGGAGCCGCCAAGAACAGCTAAAGCTCCTGGCAAAGGTTCTTCATCATCTGAGGAGCTCCGCTGCCTTCGAATGCGCAGATGAGCATGACGGGTCCGCTGAGTACTGGGCCGATTTCTTCCAGAAAGTGAGCGAATATTTTCGAGGACCAGGCACAGTCGATAAGTGGGGTAAGTGGTGGCAATCACATCGCTTCCCTAGTATCAGTCGGCTGCTAATTATTGTAGTGCGTCAGTTGTACATAACGGATGCGACGACTCAGAGCAACGGCATAGCCGTGCCTTCGGACGCCTTGCTCTGCCCGGTTGTCAATTTCTCCGTACCTACCGATCGACCGAGTGAGAACGCAAAATGGACACCAGCGCTTGAGAGCGATATCATCGATGGAGAACCCCTCCACGATGAAGCCGTCGCGATGGCTGGGAGGAAAGACCTAGAAGAAGTCAAGCGCGTCATCAGACAAGCTGAGGAGGCGAAACCGTCATGCAACATCAATCTTCTCCAAGACAGGCTCGTCACGGGCAACCATAACGGGCAAGTCCGTGTTGTGAGCGCAGCCTCAGGCGATACCGTCAAGAGCAAGCCAGCTAAGCCTGTCGAGAGTGAACGTATCATGGACGTCGATACGAACGACGCTGCCGAAAACAAGCCCGCCGAGAACCAAGGCATCGTGGACCCTCTTATCGAGAGCGCTGCTATTCGGGGCGTGTCTGTCGGGAGCGAAAGCATCGTCCGCGCTGCGACTAGCCTCAGCGAGATCTCTGGGGCTGGAATGTCAACCAACGAGGACCGAGGCATGAACAACGGCGTTGCCCTCGGGAACCTGGCGGAAGCCAATCTTGCAGATCGTCACATAGCCAATACTGAGGCCGATGGGACCAATGCCGCTTGTGACGCCATGAAACCCAGCCGTGTCATGGTGGGTATTCCTCTGGAGAAGCCCACTGACAGCAACGCTCGTCTACACAAACTTGATGTTGTCGGCTCCGCGAAAACTTTGACGATGGATGACATTGTAATCCAGAGCGGGCCGGTAGGACTGTCCAGTGCCAAGGATGGTGTTCAAAGCGGAAACTCCCAAAGCCCCGCTCAAAGCTCAATCGTCGAAGGTACACGTTCCGAAAGTCAGCCTTCCGCAACCGCAACCCAGCAGAGCAACGTCATCAATCCATCTGCCGAACGCAAAAGAAAGCGTGGTTCTATTGAGCTTCGGACCATTGGTGAGACGGTCAACGGCGAATCCTTGCAACACAAGTCTCCAAGTAGCAGCGCACAGGACAAAGGATCTCGTCAGCTTGAGCCAGCTAGGCACGGACTCGCCAAGAGCGAGCCTGCTTCAATGGAGCCTGCTGGAAGCGACGAGCCTGAGAAACTGCGTACGGCGCGTCGTACACGGATGCCCTTCGATGAGGCTGATGGAATGACTGGTCGCCTTGCAACCAAGCAACTGACGCCGAGTTCAGGAGAGACTTCTCTCATACCACCCAAACAGGATAGTATGTATGTTGGAGGTTTGGAGGCTGGCGATTGTCCTGGCTTAGATCTCCGTCTTTCAGGCAGAGTGGGTCTCTTGAAGGTCTTCTGTCGGCCGAGGGATGGGCAACGCGGTCCGTATGTAGTGGTGGTGTTCGAGAGGCAGCTTGGTTTGGTTGCTGCTGCTATCGGTATGGTTGGAGCGTTTCTTTACTTCGCGTATCGATGGTTGCTTTGAGCATGGTGTTCAAGGTGTCTTGATGTACGGTATGCCTGGTAATTTGTTGGCGTTGGCTGAGGCATGTGGAATAATGAGTTACGATAGACATGACTTACGAATGATGTTGATAGATCACGTCTGAAGAACAGCGTAAATGAGGCTTCATGGTGTTGTTTTGACCCCTTTGCTTCGCAGCATGTTGACGAGCCTGCGACATATCTAGATTGAGCGAGCATCTTCAACTATGAGGCATCTGGGGGCATGTTCTGATTGGTGACGCTATGAGTGAGCGCTAGTCCCGATACGGCTGAAAGTCGGCTGAAACGCTAGACCATGTTGAGTACAAAGTCGGCTGAGCTACTGTCTGCCTTGATGGTCCCGGACCCTTAGACATGGCGTCACGTTCCACCTGGGCATGCGTGTAGCCGTATCGTAGGCAAGTTATGCACTGTGGTGAAAGCTGCATTCAAAGGGCAACTTCTGACACAAATCGAATTCCAACCTTGTTTCGCCCGAAGGCTTCGATTGTGGCTTGGCATAGCTGACCTAGCGATACATGGAGGCGCACAGGGCCGGCGTACCTGCACTCGTTGCCACCGAATACACACGCGCACTTATACACGACTATAGAATATCGAGACATATTGAAAGATGCGCGTCGGTCGGTGCCCTTCTCATAAGGCAAGTTATAACTAGTGCACCAGATTAATTCCCGCGCAAATCTGCATGGAAGAAATTTGCGCTTTTTGAGGTAATTTGTCAAAAAGGTTGCGGGTGTATCACAGTTCTCAATATCACAAACAGAAACCGGTGAGGAAATGAGGGTCGCGTGACATATCATCAAGTCATTGCGGCGTAAATTTACTAAGCCAGCGTATTGTTGTATCCAGTCTCAAGGGCTATTGAACGGAATGAGATGAGCCGGAAACGTTCCTGTCCCAAGCTCACTACAAGATCGGCAAATTGATCTACAATTATGCCACCACGCCCCCCTAACGCACACGAAGTAAATCACCAATCTTCAATAGGTTCACCCTTCCGGCGTCGTCTAAATCTTGAGCTGGAACATCCATTTCAGCCAGTCGGAAGAACAGACCGCATATTGACCTCGGATTGGCCGCCTGCTTCTCGAACCATGCCCAGGCTGATTGCAGCTTCAGTTCAAGAAACGATACATCTTCGCCAGCAAGACAACGGTCGCGTTGGTAATCTGTCAGTACCACGTTCAGCCCAATCGTTTCATCGTCTGTTCTCCCGACCTTCGCATCGTTGAGATGTGCCCTTGCTGCTTCCGGGCCGCCCGCAAAGGTCTGGAGTAGTATGAATGCATCCATCATGATGCGACACTGCCGTGCATTATCATACTCAGCCCGCTGGCGTTGAGGAAGGAGGTGGTCGATAATGCAGAACGTCGTCAAGAGATGGGGCTGGATGGGGATGGTGGGCCTAAACTTTCGCCGTCTCGCTTGGAGTGTCGGCTCAGGAGCTAGTGGATATTGAAGATCCTTGAGCTCGTCACGCACGGCCAAGCCATAGTTCTTATCGACTTTTCTCAAAAAGCAGAACAGGATCCTAGCCGCATCGGTGGAAAAGTGTTTCCATGTACTGAACGTATTGTTGTCGGTGTCGTTTCGCTCGAGAAGGTCAGAGTCCCGCAAAAAGTTCTCGAACTGGTCGAAATATTTCCACGGTTCAACGGTTCTCTTCGTCACCGACTCGCGAAACTGTTCGAGGAGAAGGTCGCCTGACACGATCAAGCCGTTGAGAGCATCGAGAATTCGCTGCTCCATGACAGAGGGACGACCATATGCGTGTGTTTTGTACAGGACATCATGGCCGGCTTCAGCCCACGCATGTCCAAGAGCTGAAACAACTTGAATCTCGACGCGGTCGCCCTTACTATGCTGGTATCCGTCCCGTGTGGTGTATTTCTCTGGCATGTGAGTCCGATAGTGATCTGCTTGATAACCAAGGTGCCGTTGAACGTAGGTGTTGCGGCCTCCATCCTTCTTCTTCACAGGTCGGGAATCATCATGCTGTTTCTCATCGATGCTGGAGCCCCAAATCTCTGAGAGAATTTCCCTCACCTTCTTTCGCTGAGCCTGATTCGGGGTGTAAAGTACCACTCTCACACCAGCCAGATCCACTAGATCGTCGTATATCTCTTCTACACTCAGATAAGGCCTCTTGCCATCTTCTTCTTGTCGCTGCCAGTTGCGCAATTTGAGCTTATCCAGCACGCTTCTGACTTCTTTCGCTCGTGAAGTCACCTTCGCGAACACTACCTCCTTATTCACGTCTTTGGTGTTCACCAGTTTCTCCTCAATCAGTTCTCTTGCTCTGTCAGCGCAAGCCTTCCAGTGTTCGCGTTCCTTAAAATATCCTGCAACAAATTGGTCGATGACGGGCGACGAATCTTCCCAGCTATTTGTATGTTGAACAGACTGGAAGGGTTCGGAGCCTTGGGAAGAGCCCGAGGCTCGCTCGGGTAGACCAAATCTCTGGTTACCGGATGAATTGTTCATGGTTGAGAAGGATCAGCCGAAGATTGTGGTCTTTCAGGGCTTGAAATAACTACAGAGCATTAGTATAGCATATGCACTAAAATTGAAGCGTATTAGACTGCTAGTAGAAACTGAACATACTAGAACACAGAGGTGTGGGAAGTTTGATCACAGTTACTGGCTGGATAATATCGAAACAATCATTTGTGAGGGCTGAGTTCGCGACAAAAGCTGATAGCCTGGGAATAGACCAAAACAGAACAAATAGCACTTGAGCACCTGAGCGCGGTTCATGAGGACTTTATATGCATCTTTAGATATTTTTATAACGTTCATCAGCCTCATGGCTTGATAGAAGTCAATCTTCATGACCAAGGCTGAGATTCAGGCGCCCAGCCTGGTTGTGGGTGCTGCCCCACCTGCGCGGCCCATCGCGCAGTTTGCAGGCTTAGTACACGCAGCCTTGCAGCCACAGTTATAGACTTGGCTATTTGCGGCCGAATGAACGCCGTCGTCTTGCCCTCCTTTTGCCCTTTCTTTTGCCTTCTTTCTGCGTCGGCACCCTCGACGTAGCAGGCGTCTTGCTGTCTGCGTATGACCGGTCAGTAAGCCGCAGCACAAAGACACGTTGTAAGTCAGGGGGTCGTACAGCTAGCCACGCGCCGCCAAGCGTAATACGTCCTTCACTTTCGGCTTTCTTCAGCCTGATGCCATCGCAAAACACCAACCCCGCGCACTCGAGCCGCATTTCTATTACCGCTGCTACAGCATTTGTTTTGCGGGTGCGCAATACATACCATGTATCCAAATTCAATACACGCTATATTACCAGGTTATCGCAAGACTGGCGAGAGTTCGTACAGCGGACTGCACGAATATTCACAGTACATCCAAGGACTATGCTCAAGGAATCCTTCACTAAGAACCCTTCACTCGTTCTTGGTAAACCCAAACGCACGTAGCCACGGATGTCCAATTACTGCTGTAGATTTCCGACATGGCACATCTCTCCCCGAATCTCGCGCAATTTACGATCTGGATCAACTGATCAATGAGGTTCGATTCGAAACGTCATCCAGTATGAGGAAGGAACCTTCGGGAGCTGATGGCCAAGTTCATGGACGACTTTTGATAATCGAAGACTTGACAGCTGAGATAATTCAGTTACTGGGTTCGGAGCTTGATCTCGATCCGCTATTCCTTGCAACGCATCTGCACACTGTACACAGGACAGGCATGCGCCACCAAACACCCGACGACGCCACCTTACCATCTCGCCTCCGCGGCAGAGACTACCTCAATGTCTCATACCACCAACCAGTGTCCTCTGACGTCCCATATACGTCTGGAAACAGATTTTCCCTGGATACAGGGATCGACCGTAAGCTGGTGTTCCTTCGTGCCACAAATATTGGACTCGTGCAACATCGTGTATCAATCATCAAAGTTCGACAAAGCTCGGGTTGTTGGTTAGGTGAGTTATCTAGCGTGGCCCTTTCTGTCACCACAGCTAACATGCTAAGGCTTGATTTTGGTCGACCCGCCGCTTGGCAATACGTACTTTCGAGAAGGGTACAAAGGCGAATCTGAGCACAAGGTCCACCTGAGTCTGCAACCTTATTTGGGTACGTATGAGAACTTCATGGAGCTTCCGAAATTCTCAGAAGCCTTGGATCAGCAGAAGAACAATACCCGCCTCAGTATGATGGATGATTTGGTCCATTACTGGAAAACCGAACTACCCGTTTGTTTCGAGGCAGCCGATCCCTCAATTCAAAGTCTTGCGTACTATCCCTTGCGGATTGTTGCAGCCGAATGGGTGAAATATATCGCAGTAATGCAGCGTTGCATCAAGCTGTACGAGTATGAGAGTAGCCAGCTAGACCTCAACAAATTCAACATGGACATTCGGGAGCTTCAAGGGTGGCGTAGACGGACCATGATGTCGCTGAAAAAGGTCCAAGTCGTCATTCGCCACCTCAGCCCACACGCGTCGTCAACATTGGACCACACTGCTTCAGTCGTCGATGTTCTTGAGGATTATAAAGCTATCAGCGACGATATCGAGAACGCCGGACGCAGACTAGAGAACATGTTGCCAGTAGTAACGTCTTTGGTCCAGATAATCGACGCGCGACAGTCCTTTGCTGAAACTGCAAACATCAGTCGCTTGACTATTCTTGCCCTGGTCTTCGTCCCGCTAAGCTTCGTTTCGAGCTTGTTCAGCATGAATTCTGAGAACGTACCAGGAAGCGAACACTTCTGGGTATATTTTGCCGTCGCAATCCCCGTTACTGCTGTCGTCTTCTTGATCGCCCGGCCGCCAACTCGAGGAGAATTGCACAAAATTTCGACCTGGCTAAGTGGGTTGTTTAGAAGGAAGCCACGGTTACCTAGAATCTTGACCAACACTCCAAATAGTGTGGAAATGGGCGGAGGGAATAGCCCGAGTCAAAGGCGCACTCTTTTGTTTTCGGAGAGAATTGGAAGCATGTGAGGGTGAATTGGTTGAGACGTAAACTTCGTGCCAAGTAGCAACGGCACCATGCGATTGTAGCCATACGTCGCGGATCTTCGAGGCTGTTACGAAGCGTGTGCAGCTTCAACTACCTGGCACGTAAGCAAGGGCGAAGGTGTTCCTGCTGTACATAATTGCGCGACAGCAAACTAGTTGGTACGTGTGAGCTGGCACAACTCACGTTGCTTCATAGGTAGGCTCGCCAATCACCAGCAATACAACGACGCGATGAAGTAAACAATACGATTAATCTCTATCCGCGACTACTTTACGTCGCAGTACCATTCCCCACCACCGTCCCATTCGCACCCCCACCACTAAAGTACGCACAATGAATCAAATACCTCGACGTCTCCGCACTAAACCCCTCCAACGCAACAGCATCAATCTTGCTCAACGAGAAAGCGCCATTATTCATCTTCGTGTAATCACTCAGCGGGATCCTCAGCACCACCGGACTCCCATTCATACTGCCATACGCAGCCGTCGCCACACTGAGACGCTGTATCGCCGTTTGGCCATCACAGCCAAACCCGCCACTCTGCAACTGCACGTTGAAACTCGCGCCCGCACTGGCTGTGACGTTGAGAACGAGGTACTGGGATGTTGAGACGTCGGCGCAGTTTTGCAGCGAGTACCAGTATGAGCCTGATACGCTGGGTTGGAGAACCAGAGCGCCGTCGGTGACGACTGGTGCGACTTCCATGGTGCCGTCGTCGCTTTGGACGTAGCCGTGGTTATTGCGGTTTGCGACGCCAGGCGTGCAGTAGTTCAGCCATGCGTCGTCGGGGCAGTTGCATGTTTGAAGTGAAGGCGTGGCTGCGACGTTGATCAAGCTGATGCAGCCGACCTTGACGTCGACGTCGGAGGGGTTGAACGCTGAGAGTGCGACGCTGTCGAGTCTGCTGGTGTTCATGCCGGAGAAGTCGGCAAAGGGGATCTGTGCGACTTGGTACGCGTCGGCGCTCGTGAATGTGACGAAGGAGGTGATGGGGACGGAGGAGGGGGGCGAGAGTGTGGTGCACTCCTCGTCTGTCTTCCAGCGCATCGTGACCCGGAATGTGGTGCCTGCAGGAGCGGCGACGGAGAGTTGGAGGCCCGTTGCGTTTAGTGTGTTCGCGTTGTAGCATCCGCTGTTGTCGAATTGAGAGTACCAGTATGAGCCGCTTGTAGAACCCAAGACGAGAGAGCCGTCGCCGTCAACAGAGTATGAAGCGAGAGAACCTTCATCGGTCATTTGGCCGAGGAGTCGGTTGACTCGCGGGACTTCGGGCACGAATGTGCAAGTGTTCAGAATAGTACCCGAGCACAGCGCGCAACCGGGGCTATTCGCCGGTCCTGTGAAGACCAGGGAGTGGATGCGATAGGTCGAGCCAGGCGAGTTGAAGCTGGTCATGACGAAAGACTGGAGGTATTCTTGATTGAAAGTAGCTGGGAAACGCGAGAATGGGATCGTGAGCTGTGTCGATGCGGCGTTGAAGGTGATCGGAACGTAAGACGTGACTACGTTTGTGCCGCAACCATCAGTGCCGTATCTGAAGCCGATGTTCGCGGTCGCATCTTGCGGGCCTGAGACAGTGAGGATAATCGCGTCGTAAGAGCTGTTCACGGCTCTGCATTCGGAAGGCTTGGCGAGCAGCGAGTAGAAGTAAGATGTCGCGTCTTTGGGTACGAGGTCGACGTATCCGCGGCTAGTCTGCTTGTACGATTGCATCGTTCGGTCGTCGGAGATAGCCGCACCCAAAGCGTTGGTCTGCGTCTTGAACTCGTTCGGATCGCAGAAGTTCAACACGACAAAGCCAGTCGGAGCTGGGCAGCGTGGGCCGGCGCCAATCGTGGAAGGTCCGCCAAGGAGCGAAATCCATCGCATCGTGAAGTTGCTGGCGGATGAACCACCGTTGGGCGTAAAGTTGCGTAGCGTAATGCGACTGACGGAGTCGGTGTTGATACCCGAGAATGCCGTGAGGGGAATAGTGATGTTGGAGAAGTTATCCTGGCCTAAGGTGGCGTAAGACCTGGTGTTGACAGTGGTAGTCTTGCCATCGCCTGAGCTCAATACCACATCGAAAGAGCCGCCAGGTGGACCGCGCGCGTTCAAAGAGACACCAGTGTAAGCAGTAGCATTCAAGGTAGCTCCATCGACCATGGTATCAGTGTAGAAGAACGAGTCTGCGCTCGAGGGCAGCAACTGCATTCTGCCTAGCTCGGAAAGCTTCGCGAACGTCATCGAATTGTTGTAGTCGGTCTGGCCAAAGATGTTGTTGATACCAGTGATCCACCGATCAACATTCTGGAATGACTCGATGGCAAGGCCTGGGGTACGGTCCTCTCCTGGTGCTGTTACACATCGCTTCTGGATCTTGAGATTGTCGATGTAGATGGGTGTCTGTGCTGGCGAGATGTTTCCGATGCGTATTCCGCGGACGTGCTTCATCTCTTGTCCCTTGAAGTCGGCTAGTGGTATGGTGACAGTATGGTTCGAGCCATCGGCAGGGGCGTATCT